CCAGGGAACCCCTCACATTACAGTGCTGCCACTCGCTCGGCGTACCCGTTTCAGCATTTGACCTCACTATTTTTCGTTTAAGGAAAGGAGAGGGTTTGTTTTCTAAAGGAACAGAAATTAATTATTTTCTCAGAAATGCTTTTATGGTGATAGGAGGACAGCTGTGGAAAAAAAAAAGGAGAATTTATGTTTAAGCAAAGGACAGGGAAAGGTCAGAAAGCAATCTGCAGGACTGCAGAAACGCTGCAGCTATTCCTCATAACAATTTCTCAGAGCAGTGAAAGGAGAATTGAAGCCAATTGTATATGTCCCAAATACAAAATAAAAATAAAGTAAAAACAGATGTCAGGCTGTATTTTCACACTTTGTCCTTGTAAAAAAACCAGTGCAATTTTCAGCCAGCTACCACATTAATCACATGTGTCACCTGCTGCTAATCAGGCTGGAGACAAAATAATTTCTTGTCATTCATCAATTCACAGTTTTAAGGGTGGATTTGATCAGAAAAAAAAATCCACATTATGCAAGGCCTGTTTGTACTCTGAGACATGTTTATTATTTACCAAACATTGTATGGTAATTTCCAGATAGTAATGATACTTTATTTGCTCAGATTTTTCCTATTACTTCTCCTGCTAGCACTTGCTGTACGTAATCAACCCCCAAAAGTTTGCCACGCCATGCACGGGACTGGGCACGTGACTTGACTATTGAAAGAAAATTTCAGCTAAGAAAGGCTTCCCTCGGCAAATTAAACACAGTGGGAGGAAAAGACTGTGGTATAATCAAAGGTGATGTTTTATGCCACCCTTCCCTCCTGCTGAGTATTATATTTCTCTTGAAACATCTCTTATTGATTTCAATGTGGTGATTTAGAAAGTCTGGTTCTAATGACCATCAAATCAGCGGAGCCATTTGGGGTGGGAAATTTACTCAGAGGAACAGAAGTAACAAAACCCAGTCCTAGCGCAAAGCATTAACCCTGTAATTTCCTGACAGCGGAACTGAATTCCTCGTATGGGTAACAAAGCAAAATAATCTTGCTTATCGTGAATTAGATCCCATCTGCACCCCCTAGAGAGGCCTGTGGGAGCTCACGTGATTGGTACAGTCTGCCCAGAGGAGATCAGGGACCACAACGATCTGGGAAGCATCACCTCTCCCTGCAACACCATCTGCTGGTCTGCAGTCACTGCTGGAGTCAGTCTCTTTATTTTCACAAGTAATAAAAACTCATTTGTATGATGAAAGAAATGTTGCACAGGGAACGAGTGGTGTTTTGTAATGGCAGCAGGGGATTACAGGATCTGATAAGAGCATCAAATGATCTCATTAGCTATGGAAAATATATCTGATCTGCAATCACCGTTCTCTTATACATATTCTTCAGTGATACATTTACAGACATTTCAATACTTTAGAGTAGGGAAAAAGTCAAAGCATCCATGGAAAAATTAATCAAAACAACAGATTTGGGACGCTTTCATCCACATGTGTAAAAATACAATTTAGGTAAATTTTGTATACAAATAACCTATAGTTGAAGTGGTATGTGATGTGAAAGATTCCCTGCTCTTCTCCAACAAATTTTGCAAAATATACTCTGCTGTTTTGCCAGTACTTATTTCACTGCCAACTACTATTCTGTCTTTCCCCTTGGTATCTAGTAAAGACATCTAGTCTTGTCTCATGGTCCGGGAGCATACGCTATAAGATTCTAGGAGCTGTTATTAGAAATGAAAGGTAGGATCCTCTTCATTCAAAAATCTTGGGAGTTTGGCAACATTTGCAAGATGTTCCAGTGTGTTACTCAATTTAAAAGGCTAATGCAAGTTAAATTCACAAGGTAAAATTTAATGGGTCAAAACAGAATTGTTTTAAAGATCTCATTATCAGCACCGTTTGTTTCAGAAGTATTACAACTATTTTGATCACAGGATGCTCCAAACACAGCCTATTTTGTGTTTAATTTATCCTTTAACTTTTATTCTGGTGCCACATGGTTGTTTTTACAGAGAAGTCCCATGAAGTCACCCACAGGAAACCATACTTGAGGTTATTCTAAACAAGTATGTTGGATTTCAGCACTAACAGGAAATTGATAATCTGCATTTTGCACATTAGTTCTTAAGAATTTAGAGAACTATTTTTAACTTGACTGGAATAGATTTCATATCTAAAGCAGAGATCTGACATCACGATTAAATTGCACAACACAGTGCAGTGCAGAGATCTTCACGCTAGCGTGACTACCTCCACAGGGCCCAGCGCAGCTCAGCGGCAGTGGCTTATGGCAAGTTTTATTGTGTGCTTTGTATCACATCGAACTGCGAGGCCTGGCCGTGCCCTGTGAATACCATGCTCTCAGCTTTACTTTGGATGGCAGCTGTTAGTTTTACTTCTGACAGTGTGACCTAAGGCAAATCATTTGGACCAATGTCTACAGAAGACGTTAGGGAGCCAACCTGTGGATGCTCAGAACTGAATTTCTGAGGCTCTAGGCAGGCATAACTCTGCATCAGCTCAGTGGAAGATCTGGGTACTTGGCGCTTACGTAAACCTCAGTGTTGATACAGAAATCACGGACAGCCAAAAATGGAGACACCTGAAGTTAGAGGCCACTCCAAAAGATTTGATCTCACAATTCTCAGTCTCCTGCTCTAGAAAATGGCGGTTGCAGTATGTTCCAAGTTTTATAAGCAATGCGGCGCTCAAGAGAGAAAAAACGCCCAAACTAGTACCGCTGAAACTCTAAGCCTTTAGAGTTTGGGAGGCTCATAAGGAGAATGCAGAGTATAATGATTATTATAGGTGATGATTATTACAGTGCTTACAGAGCAACCAAAACCAGGGCTTATCTGTGCTAGGTTCTCGGGCATTCACCTCTCCGTACTTTTAATCCTGTTATATCCACATCCTGGAAAAATAAAACATTTAGCTTATAGCTAGTTTTGGCAGAAGTTTGGGGTTTTCCCATCCATATGAGAAACAGAAAAACCTAAGTAAAAATCAGCGTGATAAGTTTCAGTAATACAGAAAAAAAATATTATAAAGTAAATTCACTGAATATGGCAGCAGTTCTTCTTGGTCTCTTTTTTTTTTTTTTTGTCAATACATGTTATCTTTAAGGGACC